TTTCATACCTCACTCGTCCAATTTGGTTGAGAAACGAAGGAGAACGAAGACCTCAAAGTTACTGAAATTTCCGGCGACGTTTCTGCGTTTTCCGGCGAATTCCAGCAGCTCCAAGGGCTGCGCTGGCCGGGGAAGAGAGAGGAGGAGGAGGCGGTTCGATCGAGTCCGGTCTTGTGGCCGGTGGTGCAGCGTGGCGGCGACGGTGGCTGCTGGAAGTGGCGGCTGGAGGTTTTTGTCGAAGGGGAGGGGGCTGCTCGCGGGAGAGAGAGAGAGAGAGAGAAATGAGAAATAATCAGATTTTCTGATTTTAACAAAATTCATTTCTGAAAATTTCCAATCAAGCCCTTAATGGTTTTTCGACCATAACTTCTTCGTTTCAAATCCGAATCGAGCCTACCGCGTGTCTACGGACTCGGCTCAGCACCACCTTTCTAAAAACACCACATGCTGCCCCAAACTCTCTCCGGATAAAAATTGACCTTTTTGCCCCCATTTCGAAGGCAAAATTGGAAATTCCAAATTTTCATTAAATTAAATCCAATCTTAATAATATTTTGGGTCGGGATGTTACATTAGCATCCGAGGAAGAAGCCAAATTAATTAAAGTCCTAGAATTAGCCAACACTGAGTCAGATCCTATGCCTTCAGAAAGTTCACATGCCTATAGTTCAGACAGTTCCCAGTCTAGTGAGCCAGAAGTCCAATTAGGTTGTAAAGATAAATGTTGCAGAATTTTAAATAAATCAATTTGTGTCTTAACTAAGCAGGAAGAACAGGAAGAATTATTAATCGAATTAATTAGTAAAGTCCAAGATCCAGAGTTAAAGGCCAGATACCTAAGAAAACTTAGGAAAGTCATAAGTCAGGAAGAAGCTAGTTGTCCTATGCCTCCTAAAATAAGTCTTAATGCCACTTTAGAAAGGTTTAATAAAAAGAAAGAAGTCACCCTCCAGGATCTTCAGTTAGAAGTCAAATTAGTTAAAAAGGAAATTTTAGAGTTAAAACAAATAAGCCAAAAATTAGAAATTGAGAATTATGCAATTAAACAGGATTTAATTAGTCTGTTAGAATCCAAGGTAGAGTCCAGTAATCCTTTCGGTAAGTCTAGTTCTGAGTCTGAGCCAGATTTATCTGATAAAGAAGAAAAGGTCATTAATTTAATTAAGCAAATTAATTTCAGAAAATGGTATTCCAGAGTCAGTATTTTTATTAATGAATTTGAATTAAATACAATTGCTTTATTTGATTCAGGAGCCGATTTAAATTGTATTCAGGAAGGTCTAGTTCCAACCCAGTTTTATAGGAAATCTAAAGAAGTTCTAGGCACAGCGTCAGGAAAAGCCCTTAAGTTAAAGTATGAGTTACCCAAAGCCCATGTATGCCAAAATAAAATATG